TATGATAAACCACTGTGCTCTGCTGGTACAACTTCTCATTGTTGGCCTTGTTCATGGATGTCTAGAGTCTTCAAAGCTTAATATTTGGTTTCGGTCTGGATGTTGGAGGGTGGAGATTGAATTGGAGCCTTGCTTTTGTGGGTCACCAGGGTCCAAGCTGTCTCAGGCTCAGTGGTATCCATTGTAGGTATATGGTTCCAAAGCCACAGATCTATCTCCATTTCAGCCTCTCTAATACTGCACAACCTATTAACTGTCTCTTGTAATTTGACCACCTGCCGCAACAGGTCATTAACTTGTGCACACTCTGTGCAGGTGTTAGCCTTTTCTCCAGAAATATCTGGGCATCCATTGCAAGCTACGACCTGTACTGACATCTCCTTCCTTACCAGTTCTCTCTGGGTAGAAGCATCAGACTTCTCAGGGGCTGTCTCAGTAGACACATAGGCTTTGGTTCTAAGGCGAGTGCCCACCATTATGGCAGAGACCTAGAGCACTTAGCACTTACCTGAGCTGTGGACCTACTTGCAGATTGCAGCACCCTCCCTGCATGCCCTGCCAGCACAAACTGCTGCACCACATCCTGTTTGTCCACCCTGGTCGCTTGCTCCCTAGAGCTGTTCAAATCTCTTGCAGTGCTCCTGGCAATTCCCCCTCCTTGACTGATTGGCTCAGGAGGGTTTCTGGGTCCTGACAGGGCTCTGGGTTGCTGCTTGGGTGTCCCTAAGCTCAGGAACTCCCCTGTACAGCTCAATCTAACCTTCACCCCTGGACTTACCTCAGTTGCCACTACTGCCACTGCTGCTTCCTCACTGGTTGCCCATTCTTTATTAGAGAATAAATTATTTTTACTTTATTAAATAATAAATTTTCCTTAGTTTGTTATCACAGGGATCATGTCATATGTTTCCACCCCATTCTTCAGGGGATACAATTAGTTTTCTAATTTGTACAATGCCAGGTGAAAAGACACCTTGCTTAAGCATCACCTCTACCTTTTCTTCCAGTTTTTGTTTTTTCTTCTTTTCTTCCTGTAACTGTTTCTGCACCTACTCAATTTTCAATTTGGTCAATTAGGGTCAGCTTTCCTGGTTGTGTCCCCTCCAAACTTCTTGTGCACCCCAGCCTACTTGCTGACAGGGCAGAGTGAAGACCGGTAAAGGTCTTGATGCTGTGTGAGCACTGCTCTGCAATAACAAACACATTTCTGTATTATCAACACTGTTTTCAGCACAATTCCAAACCACAACCTCATACTAGCTACTGTTTTGGTTAGACCACCTTTTCTAGGCCCCTCTTCATGTGGAGCAAGCAGTGCTCTCCTTGAAAAAGGCTACTTGGTCATTCAGGATGCTGTCAAGTGAGTCTGTCATCTCCAGGGTCAGACTCAGGTGACCAATGTCCTGAACCGTCTGCATGCAGGATTAGGACTGCATCTTCCAGTGCACCTTATCACCTGCCGTTTCGTCCCTCACCTGTCGCTGCAGGACTTTACAAGTGTGGTTATAACCCTCGAGCCTGCTCAGTGGATTTTTTAGGTGAGGGTCAGTTTGCGCAGAACTTGCGCACCAACTCTATTCACAGTCTTCTTCAGCATGATACTCCAAAGGACCACAGCAGACCTCAATGATGAAAACAGTGTCTACATTCGATATCGTACTGATGGGAGCCTATTCAACCTAAGGTGACTAAAGGCCCACACGAAGACCTTCAATCATCTTATCCGTGAGCTGCTTTACGCTGATGATGCCGCCCTTGTCGCCCACATAGAAGTAACTCTGCAGCGTTTAACATCCCGCTTTGCAGAGGCTGTTGAGCTTTTTGGGCTGGAAGTCAGCTTGAAGAAGACAGAAGTTTTTTATCATCTTGCACCTCAGGAAGTCTCCCATCATCCCCATATCACCATTGGTGAAACAGAGCTCAAATCAGTTCAGCAGTTTAATTACCTGGGAAGTATCATCTCCTCAGATGGTAAGATTGATGCAGAAATAGACAACAGGTTAGCTAAGGCATACAGAGCTTTCGGTAAACTCCATAAAAGAGTGTGGTAAAACAAACACCTAAAGAACAGTACAAAGATCAGCGTTTACAGAGCCATTGGACTGTCTACTCTTTTATATGGTTCTGAATCCTGGGTCATTTACCACCACCACTTGCGTCTCTTAGAACGTTTCCATCAGCGCTACCTCTGTACAATTCTAAACATCCACTGGACTATGTGACCAACACATCTGTCCTTGAACAGGCAGCAGTCACAAGCATTGAGGCAATGCTGCTGAGAACACAGCTGCGCTGGGCAGGGCACGTCTCCGGGATGCAGGACTACCACCTCCCTAAGATCGTGCTCTATGGGGAACTTGCCACTGGTTGCCACAAGAGAGGAGCCCCGAAGAGGAGATACAAGGACTCCCTGAAACAGTCCCTCAGCCTTGGCCATATTGATCACCACCATTGGTCTACCCTGGCCTCCAATCGGGAGACTTGGAGACACACCATTTATAATGTTACTGCTTCTTTTGAGAACACACACAGGATCACTCTCCAGGAGAAAAGACAACACAGAAAGAATCGCGTCGCGTTGATATCACCTGGGGAGTCTTTCTGCTGTACCTTCTGCAACCGGACTCGTCTATCTCGCATTGGCCTTTTTAGCCATTAGCGCGCTTGTAGCAAGCGTGGGTAGAGCCCTTCTCAAATCTTCATTCGTGAAACCTAGCCATGATGATGACTAGCTACTGTGAAGAACATTACCCTATCCCAGTGAAAACCAGCACAGACAAGTATAACTGTGTGAGGGACTGGAGAAAATGATTACTGGCTCAAAACAACTAAGTGGGGGGGGCAGGGCAAGTTCTGCCAAGATGGGATGGTACACTGCTCCACACCCCCTGCCTCTCAAGTCTCTAGTCTAGCTACAGAATGGCTATTAACCACTGGCACACTGAAAACTCTACCTGTGGGGATGGCCCCAAGAGACCAGAACAGATAAAAGCAATAGCACAAAGACACAAGTGGTCATGGCCCACCATTTGGATTTTATAACAACTGAGATCATGCTGGAATTCAAGAGGTGAATATTATCTTTCTCTGCTCCCTTTCTCTCTCTCTCTTTCTTTTCTTCTCCTAATTTCCTCTTCTTGAAATCTGGGTAACTTAAAGTTGCGTTAGAGTTTGCTAAGTCAATGCCTTGTGAAATGCTTTCTTTCGATTGAATGTTTGCTTTAAAATTTGCAAAGTACCTTCATTTTCTAAAGTTTACCAGTAAAAGTTTGTTGTTTAACCTCCTGAGAAGGTTGTTGCATTTCTCCCATGTGCTGCCTCAGGTATAAAAAAACCTAAGCCCTTTTAAGAAACTTGTCAAGTGAGTCTGGGGCTTTTACACTATGATAGGTAATATACATTGTTTACTTTTTTGATTTTGAATTCTTGCAGTTAAAAGTTAAAGGTACTTTAGCTTATATTTCATACAACACTGTGGAATGTCTACTTAAATTACACCTGCAGTATTTATTATGGTTGCAGGTTTTTCCATCCATATATGGTCTGTGTACTTGAAATGCAACAAGTTATGGTCTGACTTTTTCTGGTACCTACTGAGCTATTCTTAATTAGTAATTACTTTGCTCTGATGTGCTAATGTGACCAAGAAACTTTCTACAAGACTTTTATTCTCTTTTCATTTGTATAATATTCTTTTATTCTTGCATCTGATTATATTCTTTTGGCTGATGAGTTCTCCTTAAACAATCTTATCTAATATAGGTTGATCTGATATAGGTTTATTTTTGTTCAGGGAAAGATTTTACTTGCTCCCAGGTTTGCACTACCATCTCAATGTTTGTTTTGGTCTTGAGTTAGTTAATCAGGAATTACTTCATCATTCTCCGGATACTGAAGGGTGTTTTGGTTGGAATCTAGTGTTATATAATCAAACATATACATGATGAACATATGTAGCAAAATTTCAATAACAACAAATAATTAAGCCTAATAATGGAATTGCAGTGTAAAAATTACTGCAGAACACCAGACTAGACTACCTTAATATTCCCCTCTGACCTTCAAAATTTCTTGCATTCTTCTTGAATCTACACTTGATAGCAAAAAGCATGGTGCTCCCAAATATAAGTCCATTACTGGGATTAAAAGATGGATTCTTTTCCCTTTGAAAAATAAGTAATAAAGAAAATTGCTATTAATGTAAATTATAGAATTTTTGTCTATAACTCTCAAACTAGTATCAAGGTAAATGCAGAAAATACTCTAGAAAACACAAGACTATGAGGTTACTGTGTTATTTGGGAATTTTACTTTTTGTTATTGTGTATGAAAACTAGTATGGGAAATATTGCATTTAATGGCATGACATGGAGTTGTGATCAGGAAGAAAAACCAAAACAAACCATTTTGGAATCATAGGTTGTGAACATGAAGGAGTTTTTCCTTTTTTTTTTTACACATAATAATTTTTTTTAAAAAATTATGTCCATCATTTATTACCAGAGTCTGTATGGTGATGAGAAAGACTGGAAAATGGTGATCTAGAAGTTGATGGGAAGAGCGTTACCTTTGCAGACATCTTAATATTAAGGTTTTTTTGGCTAGTTATGATGTAACAACTTTTTTTGAGATAAAAAGTTTTCTCTGAACTAGTGTCTATTAGCAGACATCCCAATTTACAAGGTAGTTTCTTATCTGTTTCTATTATGTATTTAAAATTAAGTACTGGTATATAGTTTTTTTAGGATATTCTATATGGATAAACCCACATAAAATCTTTAAAAATATTTTTAATTGAAATTATTTTTATAAGATTATATGTTATAGCTAAATTCAGCATTTCCTAGATGCAGTTTTTTGCATTGGTTAAGAGCCTTTTTTTTATAAAACTGTGTATTATCATATAGGGCTGCAGCTTTCAGGGTTTTTTCTTTTGTTTTGTTTTCAGTTCTGTAACTTTTTACCATATTTGAACTATATTAACACAATCACTTGGTTTAATTGCAGATTGGCAAAAGAAAAAGTTATGTATGAAAAAGAAGCAAAACAGCAAGAAGAAAAGATTGAAAAAATGAAAGCTGAAGCATGTGATGATTATGGAATTAAGAAGCAGGTAAACTATCCTAAACCTTGTTGTATAAAATCCTTTTCCCTAATTTAATCATAGCCATCCTTAAATAAAAAAATCTCCTGTACCTTTTTCCAGACTCCTGTTATATAAGTACTAGAGTAAAATTCCATAAATTATAAAAGTCATAATATGCATTTGTAGAAACTTCCTTTCCTCCAGAATTGTTAAATTTTAAGGAGACTGGCTATGGATTTTTTTAGCACTTGATGTCAGGATGGCTATCACTCACTAACAATGGGTATGGTTTACAGTCATTATTACAATATGATTAATTTTTTCTTGGAAAGTTCCCCATAAAGGATAGTTGTTGCAGACAGTACATGCCCTTTTGGAAGGAGGAGCGTTGAGTTTTCTTGTCACTGAGACAAGGCTTGGATTTGCAAGATTCATTTATATTCTTTACAGAAGTGTGGTATCTATGTGTTTAACTATGGCCTTTATATTCTTTCAGCTAAATATGTTATCTTTTAACTATGTTTTCCCAAGCATTTCCCAAATGTTTTCTCTTAAATCTTCACAGAAACTGAATCTGCAAATTAAAATTGTTTTCACTTTTTTCAATAGGTTGATGACTGTGTTATAAAACCTACTGTTCTTCCATCTTCATTTTCAAACAGTAGAAGAATAGATTAAACAAAACACAATATAAAAATAAATAAAAACAAGCTAGGAGAAAGCCCTTTTAGAACAAACTAAAACAAATAAGTTCATAGTTCACGTGTGCATGTCCTGCTTTGTTTTCATTATGTTATGAGAAAGAAATACAAATGAAGAATTTGTATACAAATAAAGAATTTATTTATATAGAGTTTAGTTGTCTTCTGCCTTACCACTGACTGAGACTATGGTATGTAATATGTAAATATGTGATATCATATTTGTATGATTCCAAATATGCATAAATTCTTGTACCAACTCCTAGTCTAAATTTGATTCTCAATTCTCAATTGGTTGAAACAAAATTATCCATCCATAAGATAAAAGTAAAAATCAAACTAACAATACATAAAATGGTTCGTCTTATATAATCCTACTAATATTTGGTCTCCCAACAAGGCGCTCTCAATGAAAACACAAACAAATCACAAAAAAATAATCACTAAATAAAGAATGCCTGCTTTTTAACACTTACAAATTGGTGTTAAGGAGTTTATTTTTACCGCTTTTCTGCTTTTTTGTATCGAGGGTCTCCTCTGGAGCAGTTAAAGGTGAAGCATTGTTATTCAATTGCCTGTAAGAAACGGGTCAGATAAGGGAGTTAAAAAGGAAGTGTAAGACTACCTTGCCACTGTCAAAGCACAGGAAACACGTGTATGCTAGTATTGTGGTTTTTAGATTTAAGACATTTGATAATGCAGCTGTTAGTAGAGCCAAATTTACTATAACTTCAGAAATTTCGTTTTGTGCTGCAACAAAAATCCAACACTGTGATACACCAGAATTAGGGAATGGAATCTCTGAGTTTCCTTTAGGGTTAAGATTAACAGATTTCCACTTCTCACTTGGAAGCCATAAATTAACCTCAACACTTTGTCAGATAACTCTTGCTTCATTTACTCCAGTGATTTTAACTCTTTGCTGCCCGGGAAGCATACCTAGGCTCTTGGCATTCCACTGTATTAGTACTGACTTGATTTCAGTCTTGCCTGATTTATGGCCAGACTCAGTAGCAGTACACAGCACAATTTTCATAGCAGTTTGCTGACTCTGGCAATCATTTGTGGTTTCAGTTTTATTTAGGGGTTTTAATTGTACTTCCTTATCATTAGATGTCAATGCAAACATTAGATTTTGTTCTTTATCAGAACAATAGACTTGCTCACCATCTCCCAACTCCTCCACTGAACACAAAAGGTCTGAGTCACGAGACTGTATTTCTGAGAATGTTAAGGCTTCTACATCCTGCAATTCTTTCCATAAGATTCTCTTTCTTTTATGTGCATTCCAAAACTCCACCTGAAGCCTTTCAATGCCTTTCAATGCTATCACACCGCAGCAAGCAATGTCTCTGCTTGCCGCCTCTTTTCAAGCCCAGCAGCAAGCAATGCCTCTGCCTTCAGCCTTTTTTAATTTTCCTCATTTAGCTGATAGTACAATTTCACTGAATCTTGTAAAGATAGCATTAATTCATCTTCAGATTTCTGAGGAACCAGTTTATCATTATCCCAATTTTCTCATGCCAACTCCACCCCTGGGTTAGAGGGGCGACCAAAACATTTTCCAAGGAAGGACAACAAAATATTTTCTTTGCACTGGCAACCCAGGACAGCCATTTTCTCCAAGAATTCCCACAGAGGGAATCACAAATTCCCTCAGAGGGAATTCATGGCAAAGTTTCCAAAAGTTAACACAGAAGGAACTACACAAGATTTCCCACAGAGGGAAATGTACTATTGTCAAAGGTATTTTGGGTCAGAGAACATCACACTGCTTGCTGCACCAAAATAATGTTATGATCCATTTATAAAGAGATGCTTCTGCCTGAATTAAGGTGCAAACAAGACCATATGCTGAAGTCAATAGTAAGGATTTTATTTAACAGTAAATGTGAGGTAGAGACATGGAAAGAAATGGGAGAGAGAAGAGAGGGGGGAAGAAAAATAAAGTGAGAGAGATAAATGAGGTAGAAAGATACCACCACCCTGTTGATTCCGTGGTGTCCTACTGGTCCTTTTTCACCCTGGTTTTCTCAGTGGTGGGGTCCCAGAGTAGTTCTTCGGGGGTATCACCTTTATACAGTCCAAGTTCCAGGTATCCATGGAGCATAGGTGCTGTTCCCATAACTTGGGATGGCATGTGTGTAAGCAGTTGATTCCTTTCTCAGTTTGCCACAGTTGGAATTTTTGTCCAGATAAGTTACCCAGATCTGCCTCACCAGGTCAAGACAGCATCTTTTTGTTGTTGCCGTCTGCACTTACCTCAAGTTCCCACAGTCTGCACAGCTCAATTGGTAGAGCTTCTAGCATTAACTAACCATGTGTCCTTCACTTAATATAGACCCAATGTTTGAAGATTCCCTCATTCAATGCTTTCAAGGTGGTTTTTAACAGTCCATTGTACCATTCAACTTGCCCAGAGGTTGGTGCATGATAGGGAATATGATATACCCACTCAATCCCCTGCTGTCTGACCCAGGTCTTTATGAGGCTAGTTTTGAAATGAGTCACGTTGTCTCACTGTAGTGGGTTTCTGTGGCTTGATTTTGGTAGCAGGGGGGGTACAGGGGTGGCTTCTGTTAGAAGTTGCTAGAAACTTCCCCTGTCCTGTGAAGTTAATGCCAGCCGGCTCCAGGATGGACTTCCTGCCACTGGCCAAGGCCAAGCCAATTAGGAGTAATAGTAACGCCTCTGTGATAACATATTTAAGAACAGAAGGTTGTTGCACAGAAGAAATTCTAGCCAAGGAAGAGCAGAGTGAGAACATGGGAACAATAAAGTAAACATCAAGGTCAGTGCAGAAGGAGGGAAAGAAGGTACTCCAGGTGCCGGAGCAGAGGCCCCTGCAACCCGTGGTGAAGACCATGTTGGAGCAGGTTGTCCCCCTGCAGCCCATGGAGGACCATGAGGGTACAGAGACCCACCTGAAGCCCATGGAAAAGCCCATGAGGGAGCAGGTGGATGCATGAAGGAGGTTATGACCCTGTGGGAGGCCTAAGATGGAATAGGGTCCTGCTGGAGACCTGCAGCCCGTGGAGAGGGAAACCCATGCTGGAGCAGGTTTTTCCTGGGTAGGACTTGTGGCCCCTTGTCGGGAACCCTTGCTGGTACAGCTCATTTGTGAAGAGCTGCACCCTGTGGAGAAGTGACCCATGGGACAGCAGTTTCATAAAGAACTGCTGCCCAAGGGATGGACTCATGCTGGAGAGGTCCATTAAGGACTGTCTCCCGTGGGAAGGACCTCACAGGAGCAGGGGAAGGACTCCTGTCTCTGAGCAGCAGCAGAAACAACAACTGACTGTAACCCCCATTCCCTGTCCCCCTGCACTACTGGGGGGAGGAGGGAGAATATGGAAGGAAGGAGGGGTGGGGGAAGGTGCTTTTAAGATCATTTTATTTCTCACTCTTTGGCTCTTATCCTATTAGTAATAAATTTAAGTACTATCCCCACTGAGTCTGTTTTGCCCATGAAGGTAATCAGTAACTAACCTGTCCCAGCTCTTATCTCTACTCGTGAATCCTTAGCTGTTTTTTTTCTCTCTCCTGTGTCCACTTTCAGAGGGAGAGAGTGGCTTTAGTGGGTACCTGGCATCCAGCCAGGGTCAACCTGCTACACACGCTCAATTTTTTCTGGGGTACCATGTTGCCACGGAACTGGCTTTTCAAAGCTCAAGACGGTATTCCAGGCAGTGGCATGAGGCAAAGTGTATGTCTCCAGCCATCCAGTGGTTGCTTCTAACATTATAAGCATGTAGTGCTTGCCTTGGTGGGTTTCCAGGAGTGTAATGTAATCAATCTGCCAGGCCTCCCCATATTTATGTTTTAACCATTGCCCACCATACCACAGAGGTTTAACCCTCTTGACCTACTTAATTGCAGCACATGTTTCACAGTTATGGATAACCTGGGAGATAGTGTCCATGGTTAAGTCCACCCCTCGATCACAAACCCATCTGTATGTTGCATCTCTTCCTTGATGACCTGAGGCATCATGGGCCCACCGAGTCAGAAATAATTCACCCTTATGTTTCCAGTCCAAATCCACCTGAGACAAATTAATCTTGTGTCCCAGTTTAAATGAGACATGGGTCTTTTACTGAGGATGAGTTATGAGAAAAAGACCCAAACTCCTCCCTCTAAGCAATTATAAATCCGAAATTAAGAGGCTTCGATTGAGGGAAAACAAATTATGGAAAAGGAAAAAAATAACAACCCTTTATTAATAGGTTTGTGTGTATTAGCAGAAACAACAAAAAGAAACAAGTAAAACAACCAAATACTCCTATACCCACAAATAATCCCCTTCAAAAAACAAACCGATAAACA